GTGTGTGTGTGTGTGTGTGTGTGTGTGTGTGTGTGTGTGTATGCGTATGCATATGAAAATATGTATGTATGTGTCATAGGTTGTACCCATTTTGTGCAATGCGTGATGATACCTATTCACCCCAAAGCCTCATCAGCAAACTTTTCCATTTTTACCAAGTGCTTTAAATGCATCATGTCATTTAATTCTCACAGCTAATAGTGGTATTATTCCCATTATATAGAACTGTTGAGAGCTCCCATGGCTGGTATGGAAGAGCTGGCTTTCAAGCAATTATGCTATGTTACCTGCCTAATAATTCACTTTATCTTAAATTTTGGTAGATTGTTTCTCTAATAAGATATTTAGAGGGTCATTGTTTTATTTAATGATGTGATATATGTGTATATTGCTTCTTACAGTGTATGTATTCAATTTGATTTTGAAAGATTAAAAATAAGTTTGTAACACCTGTATATCCCTGTTAAAAATGCAAATCCCATTTCAGTACTGAAATTTTCCTTGTTTCTTGGCTGTGGGTTTTTAAATGTTTATCTTTAATTTATCACCAATTTCTGTCTTGATTCCAGTTAATCAGATTTTGCAAGGAGATCTGTCTATATAATCCAGCCTGCAAGTTTTAAGACTTTTCATGTTTGGCTGAAATTTTAAATGTACAGCATCCATGTGAAAATGTTTCTTGTGATTCGTTCCTATTTGAGGGAGGCAGTTTTTTTCTTCTACTGAAGATCTACTAGGAAAAGGGACGATACAGTGTTTGAATATTGTGTTTTTTATGTTTAGTTAATACTATTTTATATTGTTTTAAATAAACTACCTTATTGTAATTGACTACAGAAAAGTTATTGTTTAGTGTAAGTACTTTCATTTTTACTTGAAAACTTTCAGAAACAAATTGATAACTAAATGAAACACACTTAACTGTCACTTTGTTGTTTGGTAATACAAATGCAAGTGAAGTAGGTAAACTTTGTAGTATCTTGCTTTTAGAAGGGTTTTATATGTTTCAGTTCTCTGGCAGACAATTTGAGGAGCTAGCACTGTTGTGATGTTGATACAACAGAACACTGTGTACATACATATGTGCCCTCCCCTGCCACAGAAGAAATGCTTTCCTTATGTAGCCAGAGTGCTAATTAAAGGATTTTGAACATACTGATTAAAAGAGACTACGGTAACAAAGCTGCTGAGTTATTTCTGTTCTCTTACAAAAGTCTCAGCTATCTACTGTGACCTTTTTGGGCCTTGTGCAATGGGGCACGCAGTTCATACTGGACTAGAGAGGATGGGAAGGGGAGGGGAGGAGAGAAGGGAATGTTGGCTCAACCGTGCTGCTAGGCTGTTGGCCTTTCATTGTAGTTATTTTTAACCCCTTGTGTAGCTCAGTTTAAACATGCTTGGTAACGTTGCCTAATAAAGAATTGTGCCTAGTAACTAATTTATATTGTTGTAGTAAAGATTATTCATGTTACAAGTTTTTAACTTATGTACTCTCATCTTAATTAGTTCTGTGGTTATACTTATGCTGGCTTAATTATGTAGAATTATTGGATATTTTTCAGTGGTCGTTAGATTCTTCAGTTAATAGTATCAAGAAACAAAACCTGGAAGCATGGCTTATTACAGGTAGTTTAATAATTCTCTTATTTTAGTAATGCCTATGAAGTACTTAGCAAAGTTTGGCACATAGTATTCCCTCAAATGTTATCTTTTACAATAAAAATATAAAATTAATAAGAAAAAAAGTTATTTAGAGACCTGAAGCATTAAATACCCCATAGTTGTAAGGGAACATAGCAGTTATATTTTTTTACTTACAGTCTGTTGAAATTGAAAATGAAAAGAAAATCAGAAGTTTTTGCTTTGCTAGGAACCTATAGCTTTATATTTAGAGTTCAAAGTATGAAAACTTTTCCTGTGGGCAGGTATTATTATATTGAACCCCGAAGAGTTGTTTACATTCCTTTACATTAGAACTCTGTGGTATCAGATGTATTTTGAAATAAATAAACTATTTGGCCCAGACTTCAAAATTCTGTTTTCTTGACATTTTGTTGCACAAATGTATGAATATGTGGACTATGACTTGTATCTTAAAGCATACAAGCTATAAAATGTTAACATTTCACTCAAATTTGGGTATCATCTATATTGTATGAATTTTGGCAATTTTTGCAGACTTTAAAAGATCTTCAGATAGCTATGACTTCGTGATCACATATCATTGTCTTCAATTTCGTATCCTTAAAAGGGAGTTGCTGGCTGCAGGAGTTTGCAGGCTGTATTTTTTACAACCCTGTATTTATGGAATTGCTCTGAGGCCATGAAATGTGGGGATGGGTCTCATTGTAGGAGTTTGGTTGTTTTGGTTTTTGCCAGCATATTTTATAAGAAGAAATTGGAGACTTGTGTAATTCAAGGCCATATTTTGTCAAACTGATACTCTTCATGTTGGAATTATAAGAAGGATTATATGTTTATGAACAACATCTTTAAGGACAACATCCTAAGATTGAAATATTCTGCTGTGTGTTATTTTCTGATCTATGATGTAAGAGATTTTTTCTTAACTTTCAATATTTGGATTTCCTGAAGATGACCTCCTAATTCTCTGTAAACACGTTTTAGAAGTCTTTAGCAGATAACAATGAGGTTACATGTTTAATACCCAAATAATAATGACTTTGATAATCAAGAGTTAAGAAAGGACAAATTGTTACAAGCTCAGGCAAAATTTTAGTTGGATTTGAAAAGCAGAAGAGATTTACCGTTTCCTGGACTATGGAGCCCTGTTTGGGAGCATAACACAGAAGAGAGAAAAAGCTGTGAAACACTTTGTTGCACATTCATTCATTCAGCAGTTATAGGAATACTTCCTAGAAGCCAGTGAAGATGATGATGCAAAGTATTGGGGAGTACAAAGGTTGGGAAGAAAAGAAATAAGGACAATACTAGACAACATCATAAGACCTGTCATGAGGCAATATTTGATGAGATACCAGAGATACAGGTAAGTGTTTCTTAGTTTCATGGGGCATAAACTGGTGTTCGTGGGGGTTGGCTTCCTATAGGTGGAATTAATTAAACTGATTCTTGAAGGATGAAATTTGAACACCTCAAAGTTAACATTTTTCTGTGTTGGTTTTCACTGCAAAGCGAAGGACTCTTCTGCCATTGCTTGACTCTGAGTAAAGTTGTGAGTACAGTTGAGTGATTCTCCAGGCAGGCCAGCTGCAGAGTTTCTCTCCTGGAGGAGGACAGAAAGACTTTCAGTCCCCTCAAACTGAAATGGGAGAACCATCCTACCTTGAATAAATGGGCCCATTGTTAATGTTAAGCTGTTGAGTATTTTCTTTTGCATTCCCTCCCAAGTACTGTCATTTTGCCAAGCTAGCAAGTTAATAATTTAGTTTGTGTGACTACATAATATATGTTTCACATGTATGTTCACTCTCTGCTTTTAAAATATTAATTAACCTTTTGTGTGGGGCTCAGAGACCTGTCTTTTCCTGCATGGTGGTTTGCTGTCATTTGTGGTCACAAGGCTCAAGGATCTCAAGACAATTCTAAAGATAGTTCTCTGGTCTATTATTTGTAAAGAAATGAAAATCTTACCAGTAATAATAATAGTTTTTGAAAAAAGGGGCTGGCTTATTTAGAGTTCATTAAATGTTGGATATTTTGGAAAGTTATTTGTTAAGAGAAATTTTACTGGTGTGCAGGACTTTTGTATCTGATGGAAGAAATAATACTGTAGGGTTTGGGTGCAGTAAGAATAGCACTTGAGATCTAAGTAAAGATTTTGTACATGAAATACATATGAGTTAGATATAATAGCTACTTAAGCTGAGAATATTGAGGTCCATGGGTTTATTTTCAGTTAATTTTGACAACTTCCAGGACAAAGAGCTTGTCTTTGTGATGGTTGTTGGTCAGGCCGCATGTGAATATACAGTTAACCAGTTGTCTTTGTAACATCCTATTTGCAATAGTTCCTACCCAGTTTCTGGTATACCACAGGACCAGTCATGTGCTTTTCCCCCAGTTATAACAGCACAAAGGAGAAATATGATTTGATTTGGTTAATCTAGAAGCAAACATTGCTCTACATGAAAAAAGGGGTTGTTACTTTGGTGTCTTACAAGGGATGATTATTTTTCAGCTTTGGTAGGTGAGACTCTAGGCCTTTATTTCAATTTTTAAAATACAAAAGTATTGAGTATGTAATAGAAAATGTGACAATAAGATAGAGGCATGTGAAATACTAATATATGTATGCATTTGCAAATAAATGATGTAATAATGGGAATGAAAAGAAAAAAAAAAATCAGTTCAAGCAACTAGTGAGCACTGGCCAAGTTGACCACTAATTCTTTAGGTATTCTAGATGTACAGCCACTGTATAGCCCTATGGGGAACATAGGTTTGGCTTTTTTAGTTAACAGAGATGGAAAATCAGTTTTCTAGCATTGATCCTTGGTTTTTATTAAGAGTAATAAAATATTTATGAATGGACAAGGGAGGCAATAATTGATGAGTGTTTAAGGTTATATTTGGAAGAATGTTTTTATAATGCTTGTTAAAACTGAATTTCTCAAATCTTGCATTCGCTTCCCCACTTCCCCCATCTTGTCTCACCTTCTTCATTGGTTTTTTTTTTTTCTTTCTCATCGCATTCATGGTGTCACCGACCCTTCAGTAAATACTCAGATTTCTTTAACAGTTGATGTTGTCATCCATTTTGTGTGACAATTACTGGAACAAAGTTCATTAACCTCATTGGCATTTAGTATTCCCAGCAGGACTAAGCACTTGCAGCAAATGTCCCTGTTAGGCCTAAATGGAGGAGAGTAAAATGAACGAGGAATGTTAACAGGAGGAAATGAAAAAGAAAAAGTTAGATGGAAGGAGAAAAGAAAGATAATTTTCAAAAGTCCATAATAGGAAGAGCTATTTATTGAGTCATATTTGGTACTTAAGAAGTCTTCTTACTTAAACTCTTCACTCCTCTCCCCTTTTAAAGTTTCTTTATTATTATTCTTTTTTTCTTTTTTAGGAAAGATTCATATGGGTGGAAATTCAAAAGATATAATAGGGTACACAGGGAAGAGTCTCCTATTGTCCTGCCATTTGTTACCTCTTCCAGGAAGCAACCAGTGTTAGCAGTTTCTTGTGTGTACTTCTAGAGATAATATAT